TTTACACTGACATGCATTACTGTACTGTACTGTATTGTACTGTACTGGATCAGAACCATTTGACTGTTATAGTCTCTATTTGTTCTGTCCTCCAAAACTGCCTTTAGTTCCACAAAGCGCCTGAGAGCAGCGGCCCACCGGGACTTGGCAGAAAGCTGCCAGTGGACCAGCAGGTGAAGCCAGGGCTCAGATCAGACCCAGATCAGACCCCGGCCTGGGCTAAAGGGGGGGATGTGGACAGCGTGTCCCCCCTTCCGACAAGCCGCTGGAACGTCGCGCAAGGGACCGGCACCGACGCGCGCAAAAAAAGAAAGTTCCCTCTCCCAGAACGCAGGAAAAAGCAACACTGGCCAAGCAACTGTCGATCTTCGACATCTTCTTGTTGAATAAAGCCAACGAATTTAGTCATCGGAGCATTGTTGGGGGACTCAAGTCCCCCGCATCCAGCGGCTGGAAACTTACCGGCCAATCCGACGCAGAGCAGATGCAGCAGCAGAGGGGGGACGTGGAGGTTCTGCATGATAGAGCCGAGCCGGGGACAAAGCTGGAAGACCTAAAAAACTCCTCTGCAAAAAGCTCCTGCTGCAAAAAGGGTTTCTGTCTGTCTCCGAGGGGAGAAGGAGGAGGTTTGGTAACCGGACGGCAGGGCCCGCCTCCGCGCACAAGGACCGGCCTCCGAGCCCCCTTTTGCGCTCAGCCTCACGCAGCTCAGAGCAGTGGACCGGAAAAAGGGAAAAAAGTTCACCAGAAAAAAAATACTCACTAGGTTGGGGCTAGCAGAGGAGAAAGAAAGGAAATCAATTGTTTTCGGTACTGGTTGCAAAAACAAAATGACAGTTTAGAACTTTGTTTCTTTTTGTTGAAAGCCATTTCAGATCAACTGGGTCTGGGGGAACTCTTGGGTTTTAGAGGTTGCTGTGGTCACTGCAAACCTCTTTAAATGTTTTGTTGATGTGTTGATTAAGGATTTTTTTTTTTTAATTATCATTCCAGTCCACATTTATACGTTTATACACTCATTTATGCACTCAGATCCTGGTTTAGGAGGCCTCACAACGGGGTTCCCGGTTCAAGTCCCCAGGATCTGGATCTGGAACCTCTCTGTGTGGGTTTGCCTCAGGTACTCACATGGGGCTAGTTGTAAAGGTGTGACATGAGTGACAGCCAATTAAATGTCAGTGTTTTTGGTGCTGTCCGAGGTACTGAACCTACCCTATTTTATTGAGGTTGACGTCTGAACATTTGCTGAGAAAAACTACTATTTTGACTTTTTAATCACGGTAAATGTCATTGTGCTCATTTGTAGTTAATCATTTATTCATTATACTGGTGGCCTGTTGTCTTTATCATTATTTAACTTCTTCCACATCACTGTCCTGTCCAGCTTTCATGGATTATTGAAAGATGCACATCCGTAGTAAAAGGATCCTGTTGGTTTTTGGGTTGTTTTTAAGCATCATCACCATTTTTTACCTTTGCCTTTCCGAATGTTTTCCACTTAGTAACTAGGCACCTGAAATCTCTGAGCTAACTTTTGTGGCCGTTTCCCAAACCAGAAATCGGAACTGTTTTTAGGTCATTTAAGAGTTGCTTTGAGGGCCCAAAGCTGCCGCTCTTTCTAAAGCTTCTTAAGCTTCTGTTAAGGATTTGTTTCTTTCAGGCAAGAGTCTTAGTCAATCTGAGGAGGTAAGAAAAGGTACATTTATTTAAAGGGGAACTTCACGAGGTGAGAGCAAACAAACAAAAAGCAATAGTTATTCATACAAAAAAACACATTAACCAGATCCAGCCGGCAGTCTCCAAGGCAAAAGATGTTATCACTCAACAGTTGAAGAAGAAAAGAAGAAAATTACCAGTAAACTGATCATATGATTAGATTTACATTTTTCTAACAGGCTTTCTAATCAGAAAAAGATCTCGTAGATGTTGTACGTCATGAGGCCTGTACGTGGCTGTAGGGGGATGCACACTTGTATGGTCCCACTTCTCACCTAATGATAGCTGGGATGGGTTCTAGCCCCTCTTCTACCTTTCACCAGCAGGTATTAAAACTGGATCCTTATTGGCAGGCAGCAGCTAGTTTTAATTCTCTTTTCTGGAAGGTTCATCACAGAGAAACACCTGTTGGTCAGTTATAGTTACTTTCATGTTTTGAATGTTGAACCAACCAAATGATTGGTCCAGCATGTGTTTTTCTAGTTTTTTCCTTTTTCAAGTGATTTCTTCTATCTTGTCCTAACTCAGGAATTCCTAATTTAATTATTTTGCATCTGGAGAGAAAGAAAAAAATCAGCTCTGAATGCATTTTCTTATGTTGTCCTCAAGATGGCATTGTGGTCATGCATACATGCAGAAACATTAAACTTTCTATATAATGATCATCTATCTATCTATCTATCTATCTATCTATCTATCTATCTATCTATC